GGTGTATAATAACTATGTACATTTCCTTTATTACAGTACTTAAGTAATTGTTTGAATGATTTTAAATGTTACCAGTTATTTTTAAATCATAGCTTTCACTTTTATTTTGTTACATTCAAAACATGAAAAGGGCATTTTTACTTCTTTGTTTTGAAATTTRACACATAGTTCCATGACACAAAATTACACTCATCATGAAGAGGTGTTTTAGGCTCTCTAAAAAATTAAGCTTACTTAACCAAGTTCTGTCAACTTGTTCCACGACACGGAGTTGAGTAAATGTAAAGAAATGTACACATTTTCTGTGTAAATACTGTAGCTCAATTTACTCAGTTTTAGTAGAACCATTTCCATTAAGTAAATGCAACACTTCATTTCTTAGGGTGTGTGTAAAAGTACTTTTACCTTCCAGATTATTGTGAGCAGTTTGTAAGTCCTTTTCTGTTAAAGTATTTTTACTTAGTTATTTCTTTCAAGTACATCTGTGTTATACACTTTGCTCCTTGCAAAGCAGCAGGACTGGTGAAATAACTGAAGATGAAAAATAAGTGAAACACACAGATAGTTTGATATTTCCTGTCAGTACATTTTATTCAGTGTAGAGCTGGTGAACCTGTGTGGCTTTCTGTTTTCTCTGACTGTATTTGTAAGACATGCAGCCTCTGAAACCAGAGTGGCTCATTATTWTTCCTGCTTCACTGTTTGGTCCAAAACAGTTTTCACAGATGGACATGTTTGAATATTTGAAGATGCGGAATTGGACCTGTTATTGCCACAACAAGAAGATATTTAAAAAATTAATTCAGGGCAGTTTAAAGCTTGTTTTTATGTCACCTCAGATATGTTTTCTGCTGACTGAGCCATWCTTTATGTGTCTGACAGAGACTTCTCTGCATTCAGCCACGCCTTGATGAGGTGCAAGTATTTTTCAGGTTTCAATTTTAATATTCATTTTCAGGCCAAGTGATCGAGTTTTCTGTCAAACACAAGCAAAAAATGGAGAAAAAAAAGAAAAACTTTCAATTTATTTAGATTTCATGATGCAGATCTCAACAAACTTGTACCTCAACCTCAATGGTTATTAAATATAGTCTGTCCTGTGTAAGGCTTTCAGTTTTCCAGATGGCACTTGAGATCTAAGCTTCCAATTAAATGCATTTATCAAGCAGAAAGCCACAGATCGACAGTTCAGTGCATTAATCAAATATCAAGGAGTGTGTTTGCAAATGTTAGTGCTGATTTTTGTCACTTAATATTTGTGCCTATTTTTAAGGTGAAATAGAAACTAGAAGCTATATTTGGTTTCAGAAAACTGTATTACTGTGAAAAAAACTAGAAGCAGAAGAATGAGAACATTTCCAATGATACTGACAGAAGTAAGTCTCACAAACAGMAAAGRGAGTGAACAACTTGCTTTATTCAAYGGTGATCTTAAAGTTAGGAGGTTTTTTTTGTTGTTTTTTTGTTTTTGGTGGGGTGGGGGGTCCAAARWGAGAGAAAAAGACAAACAGGATGTYACAAACCYTTAAGATGAGTYGTGTTGCATGCACAGCAGTTCTTTCAGATTGTTGTAACAGTTTTCTATTTCATAAGCTGTCATTTCTGTCTCTACTGATTAAATCTGTCATGCAAAAATGCACAAGTAAATATTTTTCTGTTCTTGACCGCAGACAGCCTCACAAAAATACAAAAGTAAAAACTACAAAAAGCGACGCCACAAAAAAACAAAGGATACCTGCAAAAGTAGCACCAAAGACATTTAGTAACCACTGATTTGTTTTTTTCTAATGCACACAAAAAAGTATACATCAAGTCTAGAAACTTTAAATTGTTCTTAAAGAGAAGCATTTTTACACTTTGAAATTCTGCTCCATCWATTGTAAAGATGAGCAGATGGATTTTTATAATAGATTATATTGATAAAATAAAGGTAGACACTGTGTTTTGTAAAGCAATTTAGAGAATGAGGAGTGTCAGAACAGATAAGAGTAGAAGAACAAGGAAATAATCATTCTGTCTCTGGCAAAGAGGTGAAGTTGGGGTTCTCCTCGCTGACCCTAACCGACTGAAGGCTGCTGTTAGTGTTTTGACTTTGGACCTGCTCAGACACTGTCTGTACTGCAGATGCATCGGTGGTCACTGGAAGAAAAGAGGAAAAAGAGGAAAAGAGAAGGAAAGAGAATTTGGAAAATTATAGCAATAGAGCATGAAAAACAGAGGAAAATGCAAGATTTGTAAAGAAGAAAACAAGGAAACAGTGAGATACTGAGAAGTCTAAGCAGTCCTGGAAATAGTATGTCATCATGCAATCCACCTCACAAAACATTCTTTGAAAAGTGATCGAGGAAAGTGATGGTATAAGGAAAGATAAATTTGTCCACCAATCTGAYGCAACAGAAAAGACCAAAAGTCAAATCAAACACGCAGGGGCAGCCCTAGCCAATTGGATGCCCAGGGCAAAATGTCCCCACCCCCCTGTGCAATTTTCCAATTTACATACATTCACATATCAAATTAAATATTTTTGGTCTGATTTTTTTTTTCTTTAGAAACCAGCTTTTTCAGTTAAAACAGTTAATGATATAATTAATTTAAAACAAAATTCCAGAAAGATCTACTTAAAACGTATTTTCCAGCCAGTTAAGAATTATTTAAATTCTTGGGATAAATAAAGCAGCATAAAATCAGTGAAAGTGTGGATTTTCATCTAACTTCAACTTTATCTGAGATGATAAGTAAAACTTATGTTATCCCTGTTTTGTTTTCTTTTTGCGCACCAGGAGTTAGTCTTGACTGCCTCAYATGATACTTTCACCATGAAAACATCTTATAACAAAGCAGGCTGAGAAACCCACAGAACAAGTAATCAGTGACTTTTCTGCAGACTAAATCAACACTGGTAAACAGTTGTAAAAAATATATATATACATATATATATAATTTATTATTTAGATTATTATTTATTATTATTGTCCACCATTTGTGGTGCCCCCTAGAGGGATGGGCCCTTAGCTTTTGCCTATACTGCCTATGCCACATTCAAGCCCTGCTAACATTTAGCTTCCACTTTTCCAAGTCGAACTACCTTCTTTTAAAGTTTGACCAAAACACAGAGCAGAATTCCAGTGGCATTACAGCCCCTGCTTGTTGCAATCACAAATGCACAAAATACAGTTTAATTATATTCCTATTTAAAAGAGATTAGAATCAGAAACTCACATCCTGGGACCTCAGTCAGCTCATTCAGGGGTGGCACTGTCTCCAATGTGTTGGCGTATTTTTTGGCAGCCAGTCTTTGTGCGTGTCGTGCCTCAATTTCCTTTTTTGTTCTCGGGATTCGGCATTTGAATATACAGCACAGAGTGATGACTGGGGGTAAAGGAGGACAAAAAGATAAACACGAGAAAGTTATCTTAAAAATGCATGCCAATAAAATGCAAAAGGGGTCGTGTTGCGGCTGGAGACTGAATTTATAACCCTCAAATTGAAAGATGATCTCCCCACCACTGGGCAAGATGGATCAGATTAGAGACAAATTATTATTCCCTTTAAACACAGCTGCAGAATAACTGTTATCAGTGTTTTGTTTCTTATTCTTGCACATTTTAAAATTCACTTCTATACTGTCTGATTATACTTCAAATAAAAGTTAGTAATAATCTAAAAAGAGCTTCCGTTTTCCATCAGAAACCTCCAGCTTAGGCATAATCCAATGAGAAGGTATTTTTTTAATTTTGTACAGAAGCTATAATTTTCCAACAGAAGTAAAAACAGTTAACAACAAACAATCTGATGCAGTTTATTACACTGATATAAACTTAACAATGAAAGTATTTTGTTATCTTAAATAGTAAACAGAATGTTCCTGCACTAAAAACTCTACTTTACTTAGCAAACATTTTGATGCAGGACACCATCAACATCACTAAAAAAATCAAAGAAGATTCTCAAAAGTGCAACATTATTTAAATATTTAGTTGTTA